TTTATTTATTTATTTATTTGACTTATATACCGCTTCATAGGGCTTTCAGCCCTCTCTAAGCGGTTTACAATTTTTTTAGCAAATTGAGTCAACAACTTGCCCCCACAATCCGGATCCTCATTTCACCCACCTCGGAAGGATGGAAGGCTGAGTCGACCTTGAGCCGGTGAGATTTGAACCGCTGAACTGCAGATCACAGTTAGCTAAAGCAGTACTGTACCCTAACCACTGCGCCACCTCGGCTCTGTCACCTTATCTTTTGCAAAAGCTTTAGGCACCCGTTTTGCTCCCCCACAATGAAAAAATCAAGCTTTCATCACATATAGAACTCAAATTAGGGGATTTTTTTCTGAGCCAATCTATATTACTTTACTTTTCAACTGAATTTCCTTTGCCATAATTTGATTATTGATATCTTCTAAACAGATCTTTCTAGAAAACAGTTTGGTTTTACCTGTGTAAACTTGGTAAGCTCACTTTTTTCCTCTAAATCATGACTCTTTAAGAAGAAGTTAAAAACTAGAAATCTCCACATAGGGCTGTAGAAAGTCAGCTTTTAACTTCTTCCATTGACGAAGCTGATTAATTTACCCCTACTCTTTGCTTCCTTATTTTTAACCATTTAGCAATTCATAAAAATTCATCTAATTCCATAGTCATTAAAGTTGTTCAAAAAGAGCCTTTGATGAAGAATGTTGTCAATAGTTTTTTAAAAAGCTATGTATACAACACTGAGAGTCACTTTTGTGAGATTGGTAACCCTAAGCGTGTGATTAAAATAAATAAATAAACATTGTTCCACTCGTGTCCATGTTGATATCCTCAGTAAAAATGCGGAAGACCAGATCTACTTTTGCAAAATCTATGCTGATCGTTAATCTATGTAGAAATTCCATTTATCATTGTGTTAACTTATTCAAACATTCAATAAAAAGCTACCACATGATATGTATGTTTAAAAGATTATTTGTCAGAAAGTGTGACTGTTCTTAAATCATTTAGATCATCATTGATCAGAGTTAAAAACTATGGCACTGTCAATTTATTGCTACATGTTTCTGAATATGTCATTAAAAACATATAATAATATTTCATGGAGCAAGACAAGAGGTTTCAGACACTGCATTAATAGACAGAACTATTTATAGGGATTGCCATTAGTATTCCCTTGCAAATACTTCTAATTATACTGCTCATAAATAAATCAAGGAGATAATAGCTCAATTGTAGGCCAGGGTGTTTTACATGCCGAATTGTAGGCAATTATGGACTAATTGGAAAAATACTCTGACCCAGCATGACAGTTACCTAGTATGTTCCTCCCTGATTTAACAAGGATCAAGCTACTATACTCTACTTTGTCATAGGATCAAGAACAAAGATCTATTAACAAATTTTAACAGGTAATGAGAAATAGAAATAAACTGAAAAGCCATATAAACCTAACTTCTATCAATGCAAAAAATATACCTATGTCAGGTAACTGCTCATTCAACTTACATTTAAAATTTCTCATAAAGAGAAGACTCCACATCTGGGAGCAAACACAGCTGCAAGTGTCAGAAAGTTCCTCCCGATGTTTAAATTGACTTTCTTGTAATTTAAATCCATTATTTTCTCTTTAAGAGCAGCAACAAAAAAACCCCTAATTTGTTTGATTACTTGTGAATGGGCTTTTTAGAGAGTACAGACTGCATCCATATCTCAATAAATTCATGAATAAATTAATAACAATATTCTGTGTTCTCAAGAGGCTTTGTTTTTTGCTAGTCAGGTTCAGCGAAGGAAGCCAGCAAGACAGCAATATCTCAGCTAATATTGAAAGCTTTAGTTTGCTATATTTCTAGAGACTAAACAGACAAACTGATCAAATTCCAAGCATATGTTCACAGCAAAAATAAAAATTATATATATATTTTTAACAGCCAGGATCCTCTCAGAAAGCTGGAACTGCGTTCCGTATCACATTCTATACTTTTCCTGGAGGGAAGGGAAAAAGAGTTCTGCAGAAAAATTAAATATTAGGATAAGAAACCTGAAGCAATATTCTAGTAGGTGGAGACATACCTGTGAACTTGGCCACTGCATCAATATGATGCTTTACTTGGACAGCCAGTTCCCTTGTAGGAGTCAAGACCAATCCCAGAAGAGGATTGTTTTTATTTTTAACAGAATTCTGTTTTGGGGAACCCACATCAAATCCTGGATCTTGTAATAACTCCATGGAGTTTACTGCCACAGACCCATTGTCATCTGCAGAAGCATTAGTTTCATCTGTATCTGAATTTAGTCTAGTTTCTTCACTTGTCTGCTGCTTTGCCATTTCATCTTCACTGTCCGCTGCTTCTTCAAACATGCCGCTTGTCATGTTTTCTGAGCTGTACCACTGTAGAATGGAATGGATCACCGGAATGGCAAAAGCAAGAGTTTTTCCACTCCCTAAAATGCACACAAACACCAAAATTAGGACATATGGGAATCCAGCATTATGCCTTAACACACAGATTGTCCCTTGGAACCACAATTGCTATTACACAATTCACCCAAAGGATCTTTCTGATCTTTTTACTTATTGAAGACATTATAAAAGGAAAAGTCTACTTTTGAGTAGTCAATGACCAGGCTGTGAGATGCTATGTTTAGAACAGGATGTAATGTAATATTTAATTCATTAAGTACATTAATAAAGTGCATGTCATTTGTTGAATAATGGCCAGTCAACTTCTTCTATCAAGGTTAAAAAGACTTGAATGAATAATCTTTTTTTAATAATCTTTTTATACTTTTTTATAAAAAAAAGTAAGCTCCATGTTGTAGATCCCTAGGCTGTGAAAGGGAGCATGAATAAAAGGAGACTATTAATTTCACTTAAGTCCTTAGACAACTTATCAGTTACAGCAGGAAATAGAATAGCATCAGTTTGATTAGTTTGCATTGATTGGTAATTATTATTTGAGAATTTTAGGAACTTTCTTTTGATCAATAATGAAGCACATCAAAGAAACTTCCTTGCATTCTAAGGTTGTGTCAGCCTTTCCAGGTAAGTCAGAAAAAAATTATTAATGTCAGGGTTACAAGTAACACCCCTAATGAAAGAAGACTCAGAGGCCTGAGTTTCCTCAAAGTTCCATTTTATTAGAGATGTCATATTGGCACATCTGGGAAAATCCGAATCTGAAAGTTTCCAGGTTCCCCACCCAAATGAAAGTTCAAGTCTGCCTAGCACCCACATGATGCTCCATCACATGATCCAATCAGGCATCATCCAAACTGGAGATGCCTCCCAGTCACCCCATTTCAGCTGCATAGCCAGTCGACCTTGACTTTCTGAGAAAGAATTTTATTATGGTTACATAGCACCCACTCTCTGTATAATCCTCCCTCCCATTTTCCCACACTAGAAAATGTGACAGGCCTGAAGTCCAAAAGTAGAACATGGCTTCCAGGTTTGACAATTACTGTTTTTTTGTTACGGGACCAGTATGTGCCAAAGCAGCACAAACTATTGCGCTGTGTAAACCTGCTAACAACAGATAGAATTATGCACAAAAACAAAATCAGTTTTTGTTCCCAAGCAACCCAAATTTTGTTATGAGGGCTACATTCTGTTACTTGAACAAGGTTACATACTACACCTATTTTGCCAGTGATGGAAATGGATAAAGTAGATCACTGCAGTCCTTACCATTGATTTCGCCCTCTCCAGTTTCTTAAGGCTCTGTTTGAATATTTTCAAAGTTAACTCTACATTCCCAAACAAAAAAGGAATGAGTCTTCACACTTTTGCTGGGCATTTGTCAATTCACCAAATACAAAATCTAGAACAGTAGAATTGAGTACACACAAAAACAGTATTTTTACTATTTGTATTTCCATGTTTTATAGTATGAGGCATACCTGTTTCAGCAGCACCAAGGATATCCATGCTATCTCGAATTGCAGATGGTAGAGTTAGTGCTTGGATGGGAGTTGGTGTACTGAACCCCAATTCACTCAATGCCAAAAGGACAGGTTTAGGAACAAAGAGGCTCTTCCATGCAGAAACATCCGTTTTGTGATCTGATTTTGTGGATAAGACTTTGGCTGCCCAGTTATTAGCTTTTTTGGAAGCTCCAGTTGGTTCAAGAACATTTTGAGGAGAACGTGATTTCTTCTTTTTCCCTTTCTTCTTTTTTTGGGGGAGGTTTCTTTCCAGGCCTGTGACCTCCGTTGGCTCATAATCATCTTGCTCATACTCAACAAGGGCTTTTTCGCAACTGGCATCCTGTTGGGTTACTTTTTCCTCTATTTCAAGTTCCTCTTTCTTCCTTTCTCCATGTTCTATTTTTTTTCCTTTTTTTCTCTTTTTGGGGGGAGTGGCTGGACATAGTTTTTCAAGATCTTCATCATTACGTTTTCTTTTTGCAGCTTTTTCTTCTCCCTCTTTCAAGGAAGACACCAGTTTGTAATTGGCAAGTTCTTCAAAACATATTATGCCTCCAAGCTGTTCATCTGCGAAGAGATTTGGGTCGATCTCAATGGGTTTCCATTGCCCTGTGACTTTGATGCCTCTTTGTTTCGGTTTAGATGATGCTTTAAACTTGTTTCTTTTAGGCTTCATAATGGACCTTTAAACAAAGGAAAAGAGAAACACTGAAAGTAAGGCTAGGAGTTTATAACCAAGCCAGACAGCTGAAGATGATTGAATTACTGTCCCATCAATATGGAATTTTCATTCAAGAGTCTTTATCCTATCTGTCAGACTGCCACATCTCAATCTGTCAGAAATTACTCAACGTGGCAAAGCTAGAAAAGAATATTTACTACATGTTCAGATGAAACCAGTGAGCTAAACTGCTCCCCATCAATGTGGATACTCACTTTATATTCACAGTAATTAATTATTAATTATAACAGATATTTAGTTTGGGTTTTTTTTTGCTTTTCAGTTTTGGAGCTGTGTGACTGTTGTTTGCAGCCAGCATTTCTGCCTTAAGAAATGCAATCTCCCTGTATAATCACGACATTTTCCTATTTAAGAGTGTTCCTTACTAAAGGGTTAGTTTAAAAAGTAAGGAATTAAAAGTACTCACTAGTAACATCTAGTCGATTTCTCCTATATGGAAGTGGAATTTAAGACATAGAATCTTTTTTTTTCTCCAGACGAGTTTTATGTGTCCTCTGAAACTCTTGCACTCATGCTGGGATCAGATAAGGAACAACAATGCTGGAAAAATATTCACAGATGGCAGCTTTGATTAAAATCTATCTTAGCTATGCAGTATGATTTGTCTTAATTAAGCAATTCATGTCTTCAATTATAAATGCAGGGCTAAATATGATGAGGTTGAAGTACAAATATTCATTCTGCTAGTTCATTTTGGAAAAATAGCAAAATGTGTGTTCCCATCTTAGGTTTTCATAATAGGAGACAGTTTAAAACTTACAAGCTTAAAAAAAGCCATTCATTTTTCTGGTTAACTATTCAGCATAATTCCCATTTCTTTAGCAACTTTCAGACTCTTTTCCTGCCTAAATACAGGATTGCCATATGAATACAGATTGAAATAAGACGTATTGAATAAACCATGGATGCAACCTTGTTCATTATTGTTTCACTCTAAATTACATATTTCACATGTAATCCCTCGCATCATTCTTCACCATTGGGTATGCGTTCCCAATGAGACTTCAGTTTTTCCATTTCTGTGTGAACCCAAGTACAGACAGGAGTTTGTCAGCTCTATTTTAAAATATCTTGATTTAACTGAGGATTTTCTACATACAACTCATGTCCACTTCTTGACCTATGGTACTCCCTTATAATAAACATTATCCGCTTAGTTAAATATAATTTCTAGATACACAAATGCTGGGAACAGGTAAATACATAATGGTTTTAAGCTATTTTTGAGCTTCTCATTGACATCTCAATAGCTATTTTTAAAAGCAGAATATTAGATATTAGATGCAATTAGATCTAATACTATATTAGATACAACCACGTACAGATATTCCTTGACTTATAACCGCAATTGAGCTCAAAATTTCTGTTGCTAAGCAAGATAGTTGTTAACTGAATTTTGTGCCATTGCGCAACTGTTCTTGCACAATTGTTAAGTGAATCACTGCAACTGCTAAGTTAATACAATGGTTGTTAAGTAAATCTGTCTTTCCCATTGATTTTGCTTGTCAGAAGGTTGCAAAGGATGATCACACGACCCTGGGACACTGCAACTGTCATAAATGAGTCAATTGCTAAGCGTCTGAATTTTGATCATGTGACCATGGAGATGCTGTAACAGTCGTATATGTGAAAAACAGTCATAAGGCATTGTTTTTCAGTGCCGTTTTAAATTCAAACGGTCACTAAACAAACTATTGTAAGTCAAGGACGGCCTATAGTTCCCTCACAAGAAAAGAACTATCATCAGTTTAACTATTTTCATCTAAAAAAATAAAGCATAGCTCAAATACATTCATAATATGTGCCTACATATAGCATAGCATTCAACACTATAGTACTACGGATAAAAGTCTCAGTATTTAAAGTAGTTGACAAAAGAAGGATTGCAAACTGCAGTCTTTTTTTCCTACTTTAACTTTAGTGCCAACGCTTAAAGAGAATAATGTTATGTAAGGCACCAATCTAGAAACTGGGAGATTGATCTCTAGTGCTGCCTCAGGCATGAAGCCAGCCAGTTGGGTGACCTTGGCCTAGTCAGTCCCTCTTAGGTCTTAAAAAAGAGGCAATGACATTTTTTCCCAAAAAAATCTTGCCAAGAAGAAAGCAAGAAGTAGGCCAGGCAATTCCCAGCAGTCAACACTGATTTGAAGGCAACAACAACAAATTCTAGAGCCAGTTTGATGCAATGATTAAGATATCAGGCTAGAAACCCAGATACCATGAATTCTAATCCCACCTTAGCCATGAAAGCCAGCTGGGTGATCAGTCACTCTTTCTTAGTCCAGCCCACCTCACAGGGCTGTTGTTGTGGGGCAAAAGGGAGGAGGAAGATAAATTAGACATGTTCACTGCCTTAAGTAAAATTTGTAAAAATAAAGGTGGGAAAGGAATAAATAAATAGCAAGAGATCATGAGTTCTAATCCTGCCTTAAGCACAATGTCAGCTGGGTGACCATCACTCACTCTCAGTCCTATGAAGCAGGCCACGGCAGACCACTTCTAAAACCTTTCTAAGAAAACTGCAGAAACTGCAGGTAGTTGCTAGAAGTCAACACTGACTTGACCTACACAGAGAAACCCTAATGCAGGCTAGGCAATCTATAAGATGAAGGACTATATGCAATCATAAAGGCACTTTAAGGTTGAATAATTAATGTGGCATAAACATATTTGAAATATATGGATAAATAAATAAAACCCCAGAACATTGTTCGCCTGCCCAATTGTGGGTTTGAAATTTTAATGGTGGAATGCCTCCAAATCAGTGGCACATCGTTTGTCAATTTGAAATGGTAAGTACAGAAACCATAGTATCAATTCTAAAACAGACTTAACAAAGGATGTTTTCCCCCATAAAGACAACCCTTCTCCCAGGACAGGAGAAATAAAAAAAATATCTAGATTTTATTTTGTATCACTGCTCTGTGACAATAAAACTTTGCAAAACTTGTCAGTAAAACTTTGCAAATCACTCCTCTAAATCAAATGATTTCAGAATGCTAATATTAAATGTCAAACTTGTAAAATGAAGAGAGCTACAAAGCTACCTAGAGAAACATTGGTCTTTCCTTTTCCAAGAAAATATATGCACAAGTCACCCTCAACTTTTGATCACAACCGAGCCCAAAATTTCTGCTGCTAAGCAAGGCAGTTCTTAAGTGCATTTGCCTCATTTTATGACATTTTTGCCACAGTTGTTCAATGAATCACTGCAGTTAAGTGAAGCGCATGATCCCAGGATCCCCATCTGTCATAAATTCTTGGCAGTTGCCACCTGGCTGAATTTTGATCACATGATCATGGGGATGCTGCAACAATTGCAGGTGTGAAAACTGGTCATAAGTTACTTTTTTCAGTGCTGTTATAATTGTAACAGTTACTAAACGAATAGTTGTAAGTCAAGGAGTACCTGTACATATTATGAACAGAAATTATAGTTTATCTTTAACAATACTGAAAGTCCAGTTTTTAAAAATGTAATAACTACTGGAGCTGTATTGTTAATAATTCTCTTAGGAAGAAGAAAAAAAATCTGTCCTATGAATACTCCTACTTCAACAGGCCTCAATATGGCCTTCATATGCCTATGTTTTCGTCTTTGTTTTTGAACATTTGGTTCTGCATATTTTGTTCTGAACAGCAATCGCCTCGATTTTGGTCTCAGTTGTAAATTTTTAATTGCAGGCATTATTCGCATACAACTTATATAATTACTGGCAACTGTACCCTGGTCTAAGGATTTAAAAGTTGGTGGGAAGCAATGAACTGAGATTTTAAAAAAAACAGTAGAAAAGGAATACTTTTAAAGTACGCATATAAATTACACAGATAGAAGTTGGAAGAAATACGTTTGGAATATATTCCCTTATAAAAGGGATTTTATAGACCAGTATAAATATACTAAATACCAATCAAATATTAGTGAAAATTAAAAAGGAATTCATAGCAAGTAGGACAATATTAATTTTATGGCTAGATAAAATAACTATTTACGTTGGCAAAACTGTAAAACTGACAGGATTTCTCTAGTATGCCAAGCAATGATTTGGCTATGGTTTACTGAATAATGCATAATTGGCTAATTTCACCAACCTAAGCCATAAACCAAAATGAATGGAGTTATATAACTTACCAAACCTCATCATACTTGACTGTGTATTCAGTCGTTAACTTCTTAGTTTTTAATATATTATTCATTTTCATTTTTATTCTGCCTCTTCTCCCCAGAACACCCAGTATCATGCATTGCTACTTCCAACTTTATTTTCACAACATCATTCTAAGATGGTGTATGTATGTATGGTTCTCCTAACAACATTTATTAAACATCATGGCTGAGTGAAGAGTTGAATTTAGGTCTCCTACACTGATAATGTCCTCATCAGGAAGTGGATTTTAACATTTAAGATTGCTGTGTGATTGTTTGCAGTTACAACATGTTATGAATAAAAGAAACTCTAACACCTGAAAGTAAAGGTGAGAGGTCTAACTCTTGCCACTGCAAACAATGAAACATATCTTGAAAAAAAAATTAAAGGCTGTGCTTTTTGGGATATCCTCCCCTGACTGAGGTGGGTAGATATTTTACAACTTCAAAGTTCTATTGTAAAAATTTAATATACTTTAATCCAGGATTCATTTGTCACAATAATAATAAAACCTCTGGAATCTTCAGAAGCAGGAGGTGGAGGCACATCCTTCCTCTCCTGTTGCTTCCTTGAAACTGATAAAAATGAGTCTTTAATCAACTTCCCCCACCCTTTAGACTTATCCAATCTTTTTTTAAAATTGTTCATATTAGTGGGTGCTACTGATTGCATGGTACTGCACGTACTGTGTAAAGAAACCTTTTCTTTTTGCCTGTTCTAATCTTCTTCCAATCAGTTTTAGAGGATTTTTCTCCTCCCAGAGAAGGAGACAAATTTCTCCCCGTCCATTTTCTTCATGTCATGCAGAGTTTTATACATTTCAAATTAAATTGTCTCAATCATCTCCGGTAATATTGAACTGCAAACTAGGGCATACAAAACTTTTGCTAGACCAATTCTTGAATACAGCTCATCTGTCTGGAACCCGCACTGCATCGAACACCACTCCTCTGCTCCCAACAGAATAGCTTATGCCACCAGACTTGAAATTTTGAGCTTAGACAACTTGGAACTACATCATCCTAAGCGTAGTACATAAAATTATCTCCTACAATGTCCTACCTCTAAATGAATACTTCAGCTTCTACTACAACAACACACAGCACACAACAGATACAAACTTATGGTAAACCGCTCCAAACTTGATTACAGAAAATACGACCTCAGTAACAGAGTTGTCAATGTCTGGAATGAACTACCTGACTCAGTGGTTTCTTTCCCAAATCCCCAAAACTTCAACCTTAGACTGTCTACTGTCAACCTCACCCCATTCCTAAGAGGTCTTTAAGGGGGTGCATAAGCGTGCCTACTGTCCCTGTCCTAATATTCCCTTGTATTCGTATTCATTTCATGTATTCATAATCATGTTTATACTTACATCTATTATCTAATTCATGCTTGACGAAATAAAATAAAATAAATCAAATAAATAAAATTAGAATCCCCACAAACCCCGCTATCACTTTGGTCACCCGTAAATCTCCCCGGGTGATTTTGAGCCAGTTACAATACCTTAGCCTAACTTCCGAAAATGCCTACTGACAAGATAGCATACGAGATTGCCGTTCATAAGGTAAAGCGTGAATTCCATCCCGAGGCTTATAAAAGATCGGTATTTAAGTAGAAATCAATGTGTTTAGGGATGAAGCCTTACAACGCGGCTTCATAACACGTGGAATACAACTTCAGCAACATGATCAGGAAAAGGAAAAAAAACTAGGACGATTCTTCTATTACTCTATCCGCCGGCACCACCCGCCACATTTGTAGCCTTTCCCCCCCGTATCCTTTTAACTATCTCCGATCGGATAATAACCCTCTCTCCCGCATGTTCCTTTACCCGTTCAGGTGCTTCAGATCGTTTACGGGGCAAAAAGCCGTTCAAAAGGCATTTACACTTTATCGCAGATTCCGCCGAACTCTACTGCTTTCCCGGAAAACTGTACCACGTGGAGGCTTCTCGGGAGCGTCCATGACAGACTGACGTCATCATCCGGCGCCCACAGGTTCTAAAGCCTGATTAAAAGCGGTGTCATTTCCTTTGCAATTAAGCAGAGGTCTTCAAACTTGGCAACTTTAAGACTTGTGGACTTCAACTCCCAGAATTCTCCAGCCAGTTCCCAGAATTCTGGGAGTTGAAGTCCACAAGTCTTAACGTTGCCAAGTTTGGGGACCTCTGCAATAAAGGCTGCAGCATCTTGTATAATTTTTATTATTGTTGTTGTTATCGTCGTCTCATTATTAGTGTTACTATTATTATTCCTACCTATCACCACCAGTCCCTGCATCGATAATATGAGTGATCAACAAGAGATTCGTTGATTTTAAAGCGTGAAATGAGAAGGAAGGAACAATCTGAGTTGGATGAGGTTTTTTTTTTTACAGCGCTTATAACATCATATCATTTTCTCTTCTGTGATTGAAGGCTCTTGAGAGTTGATCTTGGCAAAGAAAAGATGATGGTGGTTTTTGAGTTATGTATGAAGACAGGCAGATGGCTGAAACAGCTTCTCTTTCAATGTGACACACAGGCAGAGACTGCAAACAAGAGATTTTTGGCAAAGGGAAGGTGGGGCCAAAATTACTGCTATAATAAAGTTGATTATTTTTTTTGTCATACTAAATGGCTGCCCATCTTCCAGACAAGTGACTCTGGATGGCATACAAGAACGCTAAAAACAATGCAGTATGTACAAACTGTACAAAAATGTATTATTTTTATTAAACATGAAGAATTAGAAAAGGCATAAAACAAAATATATATATTGAGTGAAGAGCATGGGTTAATGACATTGGAGCCATCTCATTATTTCACCAATTCCCTAGGATCTTTAGGCCTAATGACACTACCAGGGGCTTCTAGAAAATTAAAAGGAATGAGGCCATCCTCGCTTAGAGAGAAGAACGTTCCATAAAGCCGGGGCAACAGCAGAAAAGGCCTATCACCTCCCTGACAGGTCTCATAATATGCCCTCTCTGCTAGATCTGGCAGATGTAAGCAGGAGGGGAGACAGTCCCTTAAATGACCAGGTCCTTTGCCATGTGGGGCTTTAAAGGTCCAAATCGGCACCTTGGATTGGATCCAAAAACAGACTGCTAACCAATGCAGCCTTGGAGCAGAGGTGTAATATGTTCTTTTGGAAACACACAACTGCCTGTGCTGCTGCATTCTGTACCAGCTCTATAAGTTCTACATTCTTTCAAGAGCAGCTCCATGTAGAACATATCACATTAGAATGCATTATAGTAGTCCAACTGGAGGTGACTCTTGAGTAGAGGCCACCGAATGGGCACAAATTAACCCACAATACATTAAGTAAAAGCCCTTCTAGACAGAACTGTTGGCTCTTTGAGCAGGAGTTGTGAGTCTAAGGGAAGCAGATTGTATAAAGAGTGTGGGGCATCACTAGAGATGGTATAGTACTAGAACCGATGAGCCCCAAAGCCACTCAGGGTTCAGCTGAAGCATGTTCTTCTTCTTTCAGAGTCTCACAGCATCCATTAGATGTCCACAGTACCACTTAATTGCAAGGGGCAAAGATATATAAATAGGTGTCAGCAGCATACTGTTGATACTTCAGCCCCTGACAACTGATGAGCTCACCCATTGGCCTCATGTAGATTTGAATAGGAGTTTGAGAGCAGCAACTCTTGCAGATCCTGCAAAGTCGGAGATGAAGTTGGGAGCTCTCCCATAGTTACCACCAACTGGAATTGACCCCAAAGGGCAAACCAGCACAATGCTGTGTTGTCCACCACCAATCCTGAGTCAATCTAGAAGAATACTATGGTCGATATGAAAACAACTGAAAAGTCAAGTACAGTGAGACTGAATATACAATCTCCATCCCACCCACACTAGAGATCTTCCAGCATGAGCAATGCACTTTTCTATACCTAGGTCTGAATCAGCGGTGGGTTTCAATTTATTTTACTACCGGTTCACTCATGCGTACTTGAGTGATGCTTCTGCGCATGCACAGAAACATCTGGGCAGATGGCCAGAGCCTCCCATCACTGCCACTACCGGTTCGCCCAATCCGGGGCGAACTGGCAGAAACCCACCTCTGCTCTGAATCCCGATTGAAAGGATTCACATAATTCACTTCATCCAGGGTTCTCTGAAATAATTGTGAAACCACCATCTCAAGTACATTCTCCCATAAGGGAAGTTTAGATACTGGATGAAAATTGCCGGTATAGTGAGGTCCATTAACGTCTTCTTGAGGAGGGGATGAACCAAGAACTTCTTGTTTCTAGTGAAACAACCCTTAACTCAAAGAAGATATTACCACCTCTAGAATCCCTTACACCTAAAAACGCCAGGAGGAATGTAGAACTGAAGAGCAGAATGCTGACTATAAGATGTGAAGTTTCCAAAAGATCACTTAATTTATTTATGAGCCTTGAGACAAAGTTCAAAAGAAATCCAATCATTTATTAGGATCAACATTTTGGCATGTTCTTCTGTGGAGCCAAAACTGATTACCGATTAATGGTCTTTGCACTTTACCCCTAACTCTCCCCTCCCTCAATCTGTGTCATAAATCATATCCACCAACGAGGTTGTAGACATATGAGATCTGACTCTGGCCGAAGGTATGCATGGAATCCTCCCTCCAATGTCAACTTGATAATAGTCATGGTAACGCTTTACAAGTTGACATCAGGATCTAATCAATAGCAGGCTCATTTGGTTCAGACTATTCTCAGATAATCAGGCAAGAAACCCTATACCTCTTCTTTGGACCTACAAGATGGCCACTGTCCCAACTGTGAGTGAATTTGAACAACTTTGACAGATACTGAACAAATTCTTCTGCACATCCATCCAAGGGGTTTTCTAAGCCCCCTGAACCTCATTTATCACATGAAACCGCAAAATGGCTATCCATAGGTGCCATAAGGGTGGAGAATTCTTTGCTGCCTTTACTACTACCAAATAGGCCTTAATAGTAGTTCTAAGTTATGTCAGGCAGAATGCTTGTGTAGAACACAAGCAATATCCTGAGTGCTTCTCTTATTTCATCAGTTTTAACTGCTTCATAAACATAGGGAGAGGTGGGATCCACATCCATTACAGTCCAGCCCAATGCAATCCAATCCAAAGCTTCCACTACCTTCTTATTTCAAATGGTGACCAAGTGGTCATCAAATGGTGATGAACATGCAGCATACCAGAAGGAACAATCTCCTACTCCCTCTGAAATCCATTAAGATGCGTCAGTTGCCAGGACAGGCGAATATAATGGGTTTGGTCTCTGTGTAATGGATGGCGGTGTTACAGAATCTCATAGTAATCAAGGTATGATCTGACCATGACAACAAAAACTCCTCCAGTTTCAGATTATATGGCCACTGTTCCAACAGGAATACGAGATCCAGTGGGTGTGATCATTGTCCTTGGATAGCCCATGGCAATCATGGTGGCCATGAGCTCCTCAGCATATCTCAGACTCTAGACACAGAGAAGGCAAATTGAAGTCCATAAGTCTGGGGAATTTCACTGCCAACCCAGAGTTGGAGTCATCTGAGGCAGGAGGTTGGTATGTAGCAGGGAGGCTGGTACAACAGCAACAATTCCAACCTAGAACCCAAGTTAATGAGTAGGGGTCACCTCCAGTGAATTGTAAGTACAGCAAGAGCTGTAGTAGATGGTGATAATGAGGACTCATTCAAATCCAGATTTTGTTGCTGGTTTTCTTCTTGTATTTTTTTTGGAAATTCTTTTTATTCTTGTTTGCTAAATGGTGTTAAACTCATTTTAGAAATTGCACACAATTTTCATATGGTTTTTCTTAGAAAGTTGGATAACAATGCTGATAATTTTTGGCAACTGCAGTAGATGAAGCTCTGCAGGCCACAGGAAGATTTAGGTGCACCTCCTTGGATTTTTAATACATAAAACCTTTTGCTGGCCAATCCAGAAATATCAGAATTAAACCTAGGAATTGGCTTGATAGGGAACGGCATATAAGCCATGTGTTCTATCAATGGACCATGCCCATTCCTAAAATGTATTATCACATGCCACAGATTAAGTTGTTACATAGTTGCCGTGTGTGCAGTGTATAAAGATAGCATACAGTATGTGAAAATGGGAAAATTTGAGATTTGTGATGGCAAAATGGAAATGATGAACCATCCATGATTCCGGTTTCTTATTTCTTTGGTTTGAACATGGTGCTGTTCTAGATTATTCACTGGCTGATAATGACTCAGATAAAAATAATTTTAAAAAATAAAATCAATATCCTAAAGATGAATTTTTTAAAAATAGCAGCCATAAATGTCTATTCAACAGAACAATTTTCTTCTGGCTAAAACAAGCTATCAATTACTGTCAACTGCATGAAAGAATGAATGTGTCTTTACAGCCCACTTAAATCCATAAGATGAATTGCTTGTGACAAAGCATTTCATCACTGTAGTGTAATGGCTCAAATGCCATTTTTTTCTACATTGGCACATATTTTATTTCTCAGATTGGGGGGGCGGTATAGATTCTGCAGCTAACTGTGCTAGAATAATGACGAAACAAGTAATGATGTCATGATAGAAACCAGATGTAGGTGCAAGTGAGTTATATGTTTTATTTGCCTCTGCCTCCTCATATCTGATTATAGTGTGTATTATTCATTTAATGCAGTTTTATTCCTTTAATATGGTTCACCATACAGTAGAACCTCTGGACACGACCATAATTCGTTCCATAACTTTGGTCGTAAACCGATTTGGTCGTGACCCGAACCTAATTTTGGAAATTTGACGCTTACAAAAAAAATGGTGCAAAAGGGGAAATTGGCAGTGGGGGAAAGTGTGAATTTTTTGGTCGGAATCCGATTTGGTTGTGGTCAGAAGTGTTCGTGACCAGAAGTTCTACTGTATAAATGATTCAGGAGATTTGTTGGGTATACATGTATGCATTGCTGTGGTTGGGTTTTATTATGTTTTCTTTTCGTTCATTCTCTAATACCTATTCTCT